GCTTATTTCACTTATGAGTATATGTTCAAGTGGCATCCACTTCAATATAAAGGCTTCAAGTTTATCATTCTTTATAGCTGAGTAATACTCCATTGTGTAAAAATACACCTTTTTCAACCATTGTTGTATCTTATACTTAAATAAAATGAGCCATTCCTTAAAAATAAACAGGTATTACTCTGATCTTACTAGTTATTCTTAAAATATAAAATAATAAAATTGCTAGTGAACCATTTTAATTTTTCTTGTTAAAGTTGGACTTTCTTGCCTTAAATTAACAAACCTTGTCAGTACATAGCATACCTCACAGCATTCTTTCAACTTTCAATGAAATGTGTGCGGGTGGTCAGTAAAGCCCGAGAATTTTGGAGGCCAATAAGTATCCTTCAAAATGAGTATAATGCACAGTTCATTTTGCAATCCACTTAGCTAATAAACTCCTTTAAAACTGACTTTGGACAAGGAACTGGCTTCTGACCCCGCTTCTTCCCTGAGAGCTACAGGAAAAGGTGTCATGCAGGCTTACAGGTTGTCAGAGTCACCTTTTCATGACAGCCTTTTCGGTGCAATTCAAATTCATATGCACAGCTTTACATGACAGAGCTTTTAAGAAATATTTTAAGGCCAGCGAGATCGCTCAGTGTTTAAGCAAGCACAGGGATGACAGTCCAATCCCTGGCACCACATGCCACACCACCCCATCCTCAGGGTGGGCTGAGCCAGCCAGAGTCCCAGCATGGTGGTGCATGCCTGTAATCTCAGTGCTGGGGAGGCTGAAAGCAGGAGGATCACTATGAGTCTGAGCTGTGTAGTGAGATCCCGCAACAACCAAACACATTAAAAAAAAAAAAAAGAAGAAGAAAGAACTATTTTAATAAATATCTATGGATCTCAAGATTTTCAGAAAGATCTTGACATCAAGTCTTTACACGTCTTTGTGGTTGCAGCCACACCGCTAGTACACAAACCAGGCAGTCTTTCCACAATCTACTGTGAGGCATGTGCCTGCTTCTTTAGGGTTTCATCCCAGCAACTCCATTTGGTTCTTATTTGTCAGATGTGTACATGCTTTTCTCTTCAGGGTTTCTAAGTCATGCTATTAACCGCTAAGGTCTGATATACCAAAGCCAGTCTGGACAGTTGAGGGAGAGGGAAGGGAGGTGAGGAAAAGCTAATTTCGAGTAAGGTGAGACAGGCAGTGGTTGAGAGTTCAGGACTACTCAGCACTACAGAGCAGATGACAAGACCAGGCATCCTGGAAGACAACTGCTGCTGTGGAGAGGCTAAAGGTTCAGCCACAGGCAAACCACCAACCCAGAGAGCTAGCTTGCTGCATCCTCCACCTTGGAAATGATGCAGGCTGGACCTCTGGGAGAAGAAGGAGGCTCCGGTCCAGGTCTAAGACGTTCTTCTATCTGGGTAGGAGGTCATGGAAAGACAAGAGATGTATCAGGAACGTGGGGCAGAGGGACAGCCACTGTGATGGCGCCCACTGCCGCCCGGACTTAGCTCTAGCTCTCCACCTCCTCACCTTCTCGCTCCTTGTTCTTCAAGTGTCCTTACCTGCTTGTTCCATCTATCCAGTCCTCACCCCTCACTGTCAAGCTACCAGATACTTTTCCCAACTTTTATTATTTTTATAGAATGAGTTTGGCTGAGCACATAGGATCAGAGTTCTTGTAACTGTCCAGCCCCTGCCGCTCTCATGCTTGTTGCTGTCACTTGTTTCAAAGCAATGATCACACTGCATTGTGATTCTTTTAGGGGCCCGAAGCCCTCTCTGGTTGGGAACACTGTGACATCTGTGTCTTTGTCTCACTCACCCTGGTGTCCCCTGAGGCAGCATTCTTCTAAAATAACTTTTTCCAGAATCCTAAAGGATTCTTCGTAGTCCCAGGATTCTAGCTAAAGCGTGCACCTCTGATAGTTAGGTGTGGGGAAAAGCTGATGTATTAAGATAAATTATGGGATCAGTGGCTCTTGGAATCATAGTGTCTATGCAGAACCACCACGACCATCACGAGTACCATCCCCCACGCTTCTACGGCTTGAATGTGGTATTTTACCATGTGTGCTACTTGTCTGCCGAAGACAAAGTGCAACATTCCCACAGTCACGTGGTTTTGTTCATGCCTACCTTGACAGACTGGACTAGAGTTTGGAACCAGAGAGTCATGCATAGACTTGGTTGGATTCAAATGACTCCCCCAAAAAATCAGAGAAACAAGGAAGGAAAGAAAACCAGGATTCATCAACAGGGCAACTGGCAACAGGAAGCTTAAGATACTTCTGTGATGTCAATCATGGCTGCAGTTCCCTTAGGTAGATGAGCTTTCTTACTTAGGACCGTTTACACAGCAAGCCACACTCTCTAGAGGTTACGTTTCTAAACAGCAGTGAGGCAGAGTAGAGGGACTTTCTGTTCTGATGCAGAATTTTACTTTGTTTCCTTCCTTGTCCTTTTTCGCTTCCCTCATTTTCTGCTTTCTGACTTCATAAAAGTGTGGTGAAGATGTCTTTGGATAATTGAATGCTAATCGATTCAAGCTCCTTGGCAGACACCATGGATTTAAGTAGCTATCTAAATGATACCGCTAAATAATTGTTCAATCAAGATTAGCTGGCTTCCTACACTCTGAATATGATTTAAAAGAGAAGTCTATAGTGTGTTCCTTAATATTTTTTTCATTGCTTTTTTTTCCTGCTAGATTATAAAGCTTTTGAAGAGGCAGCTGAACACTTCCAGCCTTACATCAAGTTTTTTGCCACCTTCGACAAAGGGGTAAGTACCTACAAAACCCTAATGTCAACACTATTGTAGGCATACAGGATTAAAGTCTGAACTTTCTACCTCTTATTCTTTGCTTTGAACAGCACTGACCCTCCTCCTTTGTCTTTTTCTCTGGAGGTATGAGAATGAGAGATGAATGCAAATATGCTTAAAAGGATATAAACAAATCTCTAAAAACATACAAAGAAAAATAACAACCCACCTTGGTCTTCCTGTGCCCCAAGAACAAGAAGCAGGTGGGCCCAGAGTACCACAGTCCGCTGTTCCCTTTCTCTTCTCCATTTCTGGGCTGGGCCTTTCCCCTTCCTCTTTGGTGAAGTGGGAAATTGAAGGGTTAGGAACACTATCGAATCCCTGGTGTTTTGGAAAGCTACTTGTGGGCTATGTTATTGATATGTATTTTATGTAATCCAGTTGGTCTTCTTATCTGAATGTGACAAGTGATTTAAAGAACAGCAGAGACCAAGAGACCTTGAACAAATGGGTGATGTATTTGGGTTCTGTGTAGCAGAGGCCTTGCCCCAGTAGCTGTTATTACTAACAGGACCACTGTTTATTAAGTGCTTTCTATGCATTGGGCACAGTTGGGTCAAAGGCAGCTGTCCATGTCCGTGCAGGTACACATCCACTGATTGAATACACTTGGGGGGAGAAAATGACCCCAAGAAATTATGTCTGTGCTACACACATTCAACCCTTTTTCTTGTCATGATTCCCTAAGCAGTTTAGTGACTATTTACAATTTATATCATGTTGGGCATTGTGAATGACACAGAAATGAGTTAAAGCATAGGTAGGAGGTCTGTAGCTGATATTCAAACACTACATCATTTTTAATATGGGACTGTACATTAACAAGGCATGCTGGAATCAACTCCCGTGCACACCATGGGGTGACTTTATTGGGTCTTTATATCCCCACTCCTGCAAACAACTTTGAAAGGTAAAATCTCCTCTTTCTCATATGAGAAAACAAACTTACCAAGGTTAAATAGAATGCAAGGTCTCCAGTGAATTAAAGTAGCCCTGAGATCCCAATGTAGAACCATCTATGCCTCAATCCCCAACTCTGTACAACAGAAGCCCCTAGGCCTGCCCTTGAGGGTCAGGGTGCATAAACACACCCCACAAAGGACACCTGCAACCGCAGACATCACCTGCCCACAACTCATACAGATGACACGTCCCACAACTGAAAAACAAAATTATTATATTTGATAGAACAAATAAATCTAAGGCAAACTAACTCCTTAATCAAATACAAGTCAAAGTGCATCAGGGAGGGGTCTTCTGAGAATTAAGGGCATTGGTAAGCGGTGTGTGTGGCATTTCTTCTTGGATGGGCTCAGATATTTTACTTTTATTTTTTTTAACATTTTATTTAGTGTGTGTGTGTGTGTGTGTGTGTGTGTGTGTGTGTGTGGCCAGCTCAGCCCACCAGGGGGAGGGGCTGGCTGGCATGTGGTGCTGGGGGATTGAATCGTGGTCCCTGTGCTTTGCCAAGCTTGTTCCAAGTAGGTGCTTTAGACCACTGAGCCATCTCGCCAGCCCAGGCTCGGATATTTTAGAAAAATAAGAGAGGTTAACAGATACGGGAATAACAAGGAAAAATAAATCACATTTGATTCATATATATATGGGCCCTATGCTGAGGCCTATGATACAGAAGAGAGGTCTATAATCTCAATAGTAGAATAAAAGTTGCCCTAATTGGCTGGATTTTAGAGCTAGGAGAGGTCCTGAGCAAGAACACTAATAGCTGTCACTTACTAAGTCTTACGTGCCAGACTCTGTCCTGAGGGCTTCATGCAGGCTTTCTCGTTCCACCGTTTCCAGATTCCTAAGGGAAGAATTGGGTTCTTCTTCCTCAGGAGAAGCGGAGGTACTGAGAGATCCCGTGATTGGCTCACGGTCACAGAGCAGTGGTAAAGCCGGGCATCGTCTCAGGTTGGCCTAAGTTCAAAGTCAATGCTGGATACTACCAGGCCCCAGACGAAGGAGCAGCAGAGACTGAATTCTTAGCTGGTGTTCGGCACATAGTAAACATGCAGAAAATATCAGCTAGCTGCAAGAACAGTTGTTAGGAAGGAAAGACTCATCTAGGCCTAGGATGATAGGAGGCTGGAAAAGGATATTAGAGGAAGGGGAGCCTGCACTGAAGCCTACGCTGGGCTTGTCACTGCCATTTTGGTTCTCATCAGCCGGGTGTGGCGAAAGGCTGAAAGGCAGGGAGTGAGGCAAACAAGTTTGGCCAAACAACAAAGCCTTAGTTTTCAGAAGGGTGGTTGGATTCTGAGTTCAGGGTACTGTTTGTTCTCAGAAGCGCCTCACACTGCAACTCGATGGTTTCATGTCTGTGGCCGGGCGAAGAAGGTGAGGTCAGGCTATAATTAAAAACTTGGAAAGCTGCTTGACTAAAAACTCTGAAGGACACTGAGTCATGAGTGCCGCTGTGGGCTTTCATGGCATGTAAAAAAGAGTTGCGTTCTCTCTGACTTTACGTGGTTCACAGAGGCTGCCGCTCGCTCTCAGGCGCCTCGGCACTTGCAGGCATCACAGAAGGGTCAGCGCAGGAGGGAGACAGGGAGGTCCGGAAGGCATGGTGGCAGCGTCCTCCATAGCATCCAGCAGAGGGTGCTAGAGCAGAAGGCCAGAGCGCTGAACGTCAGGTGGAGGAAGGGACCCGAGCCTACAGCACACTCTAGCGAACCTCAACGGGACTGAAAGATGGTCGGTAGAGGTTTAAAAACAGGACACGCAAGGGCTAAGGCAGAAGTCACGCAGTGACAGAGATGCAGACACCAAATGGTAGAAGTTGATGTGACAAGAAGACCTGATCATGGATGAAAGAGAAAGAAGAACCCCAGAGAAGATCAAGATTGAAAATCTCAGTTTCAGGACAACAAAGACAGGAAGCTACTGAAAACATTAAGAAATAAATCTAGGCGTAAGAGACTATTGAATATTGGAGGAAATTATGAATCCTTTTTTATTATTACCTAAAGAGAAAACAGAATAGTTAAAATTTAAAAAAAAAAAAAAGGGCTGGCGAGATGGCTCAGTGGTCTAAAGCACCTACTTGGAACAAGCTTGGCAAAGCACAGGGACCACGGTTCGATCCCCCAGCACCACATGCCAGCCAGCCACGCCCCCTGGTGGGCTGAGCTGGCCACACACACACACACACACACACACACACAATAAATAAATGTTTTAAAAAAATTTTTAAAAAAAGAAATGATACACAACTTCACCAAACAAATCAATAGGAATTCAACAATGGTTGCTGTATTGCATAATATTATCTTCAAATTAGTTGTTCAGGGCCAGCGAGACAGCTCAGTGGTCTAAAGTGCCCACTTAGGCAAGCTTAGGCAGGCTCAGGGAACCACGGTTCGATCCCTGGCACCACTTGCTGTGCCAGGCCTACCATCAGGTCGGGCTGTGCCAGCAAAACAAATTATTTGTTAAGATAACCAGATATAAGAAATCAAAATTAGAACAAAGAAAAAGTTACAAGAAATTAAAGAAGACAAGAAAAAAATCAAGCATCCACTGCTCCCCTCTAGACCAGCAGAACTCAGTAGTACAATTATCCAAGCCATCCTGCACATACCCATAAATGTATCTTTCTCCCCCTTCCCTCCCTCTCCTATCCTATTCCTTATCCCAGTTTTTCTTTCCCTTCAACCACATTCATTCTTTTTCACAGAAATCTTACCTTTTTACAAATGAAGAAACATTTAACTGGAAGTGTTTCCCACCCATCCATTTGTTCACTCGCTCAGCAAGTATTTGCTGGGTGCCTCTAATGTGCCAGGCCCCTCCCACGTGTCAGGGACATGAACAGTGTTCTACAAAACAGATCCTCGCCTTGGCAACATTTAGGGTCACTACGGGCACGGGGAAGAAGGGAAGAGAGCAGGTGAGGAAGTAAACAAGCCAAGGACAGGGTCCTGAGTTGGACAACTGCAAAAAAGTGGAAGATGTCAAAGCTCGTTGTATAGATTTGGAGGTTAGCACTGCCAACCACTTCCAATATTGTTATCCTTGGGGAGCTTTCAAAAACTTTGTTCTGTGGGCTTACTCCTAAAAATTTAAGATTTTTTTTTTTTTTTTTTTTTTTTTGGATTATGATAAGGCCTAAGAACTCTACTTTCAAAAAACTTCCCAGGAAATGTCATAGGGCAGACAGATTTGGGACTTAACGTCCTGATCCTGATCCTAAGTGAAGCCACGTGAAGGCTCAGTCCCTCTGAGAAACAGCTGGGCCAAGACAGGGCTGGGGCCAGGGATGGTGCCCCCTCTGCCATACCCGGCAGCCTGAAAGATGTCAGTTCTAATGATCCAACATCACTTTGCAATGGCCTGCTCCTTTCTCTGCCTGGGAGCCATGAAATGAGAAATTGTTGTCTCTGTTTTAATCACACTGCAGCCCAAAGGGAGCTGTGGTAAACTAAGAACAAGTTAAAGCGTCATATCCAGAAGGTTGAAGTTCATTCTGAGCCTCTTTTCCTTGGTGACATCTCAACAGGCTTGCTAACTTGTAGGAAAAACAACTGTGTCAAAATTCATGCATGTGCACATGTTAAGGAAAGAGCCTTGTACTCGTAGCTTTCCTGTCTTTCTCCAAACCTATCTTAGCTAGTGAAAGAATAGGAAAGAATGGGAACACTCATTTTTATGGGCTGCTTTTAATAGTACAATGCATTCTTATTGACTCTCAATGTCCACAAAGCACATCTGTTCCTAGAACAATGCCTTAGACACAGGACACACTAACTACTTCTGAACAAAATGAATAAGTGCTCCAGACAGCTAAATCTCCTGCAGTCTTTACAATCTAAGACACTATTATAAGAATGCAAGGAAGGCATCCTCTGAGACACAAGCTGAGGTCCCTTTAGAGGGGTGGTGGGGAGAAAGAGGAGAAGCTCAAGTTCACTAAAAAAAAAATGCTGGAGAGATGGCTCCGTAGAATAAGCACTTGCCTGGCAAGCTCAAGGGCCCAAGTTCAATCTCCAGTTCCACAAAAAAGAAAAAAAAAATTTACTCAGGTTTTCCAGACTTAAATTATAGGACATGACAATCTAACGTGCTATTCAAGACTTAACACTCAGACTCAGACATGGGGCTTCAGGGATCACCATCACCACTGTGCACATGTGCACACACACACATGTACACATATATGCACACACATGCTCAGGCACAGGCATGCCAGGGCTGCTTGCCATGATGAGCTCTCCCTCAAGAGGTGTTCTTACAGCAGGTGAATTGATGCGAACATATTACAGGAAGGATAAGGAAACATTCCACTAACGCGTGCACCTCCTTTCGCAGGGATAGGCATGTTTTCCTTTCTTTGCACTGTGAAAGACAAGGTAATTTTTCAAATCAAAAGAATGTGGGAAGGCAGAAACACTGGAGGCTTGGATCGCTTCACTCAATAATCTCTGCTCCTTCAGATAGATGATCTTCATGAATTGCTCGCCCCAGTGTCGCCTCAGTAAAATAAATACAATAACAGCTCTTACTTCATACAGCCAAAATGAGAAATAATTTATCCAAAATGTTTTGCAACACTGAGCACTCCATGTGTTCTGTCTTATTGCTCTTTTTGTTCATGTAGTCACTTCCCATTGTGTAGCAGCGTGGATTCCTGATTCCTAGAAGAATAAGTGAACTCTAAGAGGCCAGGGACAATTGTCATTTTCAAGCCTGTTCTCCTTAAGCCCAGCTTTGGAAAGACTCATGTGCAAACCTAGGTGTTTTGTTTGTTTGTTTGTTTTTTGCTTTTGTGCTAGGAATCAAACTCAAGACCTTGCGCTTGCCAGGCAGGCGCTGTGCCACTGAGCTACCTCCCCGGCACTTGTTGTATGCTTGCTTCCCGCCACCCTTCCCCACCTTCTTGCCTCCTTGCTCCACAACCCACAGAGCAGCCATCTGAGATGAGGGGACAGGCAGTAAGAAAAACCCCACACTTCCCTTTTTCAAAACAAAATCAACATGACAATAAAGTCTCTCTTGATGGATTGTAGCCTGTTTTCTTTAACTCTGAGCAGGTTGCTGGAATTTCTTTCTCCTAAGTACAGTAAGAAATGTCTTTTGGAGTATAGTGACCTGGAATTAATAGCCATTGATGACAGAAGCCATCTGGGCCTAAGTGTTTCCTCAGAATGGACTCATTGTATAAGATCTTGTGTAACACCCAGGTCCCCCCTCCCATTAGTCACAGTCTCTGGGTCCCTGGGTCCCTGGGTCACAGAGCTGTAGTTACCCCCACCAGGCCTTGACTCCTAGGCAATGGCGTGCCATGTCAAGGGAACCACTGTTTGTCCCTGTGCTTTCTTGGACGACAGCTCTGAGAGAGAGAAGAATGGATTTGGTTTTCTCTCCAGCACTGCACATTCCAGGCCTCTCAAATCACGTCACAGAAGGCAGTCATGAGTTCAGTGGCTTAGCAGATGAACACAGCCACCATTCTGCCTGACAACAGACTGATGTGCAGCCACTTTAATCAAGAGTGAAAATGTCTTCCAGGCTACAGGCTGGTTCCCTGAGGTTTTACCTGTTATTTGGTTTTATCTGTTTTTATCCACTTCAATCAAGAGAGAAAATGTCTTCCAGGCTATAGGCTGGTTCCCTGGAGATTTTTATCTGCTGTATGGCGAGCCACCCTTCTGGGCTCACTGGGAACTGTCCAGGTTTTAACATTAAAGTTCCAGATCCCAGAAAATACCTCTGCCCTGAGCAAAGCAGAATAGCTGGTCACCTTATGGTTGTTAAAAAGTTGGGCACTTCCCAGAACTTGACAAACCACCAAGCAAGCCTGGAACTGACAGTTGAACCCCAGGGCCTGCACTTCAACCTCGGCAGCAATTAGGATTTATGAGCTGATCAAGTACAGATTAATGGACTGACTTCCAGTGCTGCATACTTGTGTGCTTATAGGTTTCCATCAATGCCTTGTTCCGTCCACATGGCTTAAATCTACACAGCAGGTTCCCTTGGTATTTACTTCCTCCTCCAGCCCCAGCAAATACAGTGGAATAATGACGAGGGTAGAATGTTCTCTACCCCTAATTGCCCTCATTTGTCAGATAAGTCTTTCCTTTCTGTCTCTGTCTCTATCTCTGTCTCTGTCTCTGTCTCTGTCTGTCTCTCTCTCTCCTTTCATCACAGAGATTGGTCTAACGCAGGTCATAGATGATGAATTTTTGTTACTTTAACATTAAGTTAAAACTATCTATGTACTTTGTGTTTTTGCCAGAGAGCACTCACTCTTCTGGTGGATGTACAACACATTGCTACCCTGGACGAGCACTCAACCTGTTGTCCCATTTCTGTTACAGGTTGCAAAGAAACTGTCCTTGAAGATGAATGAGGTTGACTTCTATGAGCCATTTATGGATGAGCCCATCGCCATCCCCAACAAACCTTACACAGAAGAGGAGCTCGTGGAGTTTGTGAAGGAACACCAAAGGTGCGCGAGACGGCACGTGGGAAGGGAGTCGGGGGGCTGGCGAACTGGAAAGAGGCTCTTAGTGCTGGTGGTTCTGGCCCACCAATATCAACAGCCCAGAGCATCCCAAGCAGAACACTGGGCATTGATAAATGGCAGCTATTGCTTGTGTTAGGTCTTTTGTGGTGGGGCAGAGAAGTGGAAGTAAAAGAAAGCGGTGAGGCCTTTACTAACTCTGAGGATGTGGAGAGGATCTGAGGGAGATGGGGGATCCTCTGACCAAGGAAGGTGGAGACCTTATGGACTTCTGCTTGGGGTAGACTTTGAGGGGCAGGTTCAGTGACACCTACAGAGCTGACTGGGGTCTCCCTTGTGCGTGCGGGAAAGGTAAAAGGAAGTTGCATCTAGGACTGAGGTGAGGAAGGAGGAGGAAGTGGTCATTGGGAAGATAAGCTGTTGTTTTGGGGATTCAGCCATGTTGGATCAGGGCTGTAATAACTTAGCAGTCTGTACTCAGGCCAGAACCTCTCGGCTTGCAAGAAGGGTTAGGCTGCCTCTGCCCACTCAGCAAATCTCCTCAAAGCCAGGGTGAGATGTAAGTAAAACCCTCGACTAGTCATGCCAGCAGTTTGATAGAGAGCTTCCTATGTGCCAAGCACCAAGCTGGGTGCTTTATGGGAGCTGCTCTATTTCATCTCCCATCTTGTAGGGTAATATTACTCTCCCAATTTTAAAGATCAAGCAACATGACTCAGAATAGGTAAATAACTTAGCCAAAGATGAACATAGCTTCTCGGAAAGGAATATTTGCTGCTCTTCAGTCACTTCAGCAGATATCAGCAAACTTCTTCTCTGAAGGATCAAATAGTAAATATTTCAAGTTCTACAAGCCAGATACCCTCTTCTGCAAGGGCTTGACCCTGCCCTTCTGGCACAGAAGCAAGGCCTTTGTGTAAACAAACAGGACAGCTGTGTCCCAACCAAAGTTTATTTACAACAACAAAACATTGGCTAAATTCGGTCCACCAGCTGGACTCCGCTGATGCTCTCTCGAGGAACAAATACAGGAACATGGACCACAGCAGGGAGCTCATCGCCCTGCCCACCCTCCCAGTGCGCAAGTATAGTCACTGAGCCTCGTGTGCCACAGTCCCTGTGTATGGGCAGTCCTGGTCCCTGCAGGGAAGCAGAACAAAAAAGGAATAAGCATTTACAATCTCGCCATCTGAGAGGCCAAGAATTCACCTAGCACGTGCAAGGCCCTGGGTTCAGTGCCGAGTACCGCAGAGAACAAAAAACCTCATACTGTTTGCCAGTGTTCAGAAACACATGAAATTATGAGTCAAACATAGATCCTACTTGCCCTTCACCCAAAGATTCCTAATGGCTTTTGGTGATTGACCCCGTGATAGAACAGTGGCTGTTCTGGTCCAGAACCAGTTCTGTCCTTTCGGACCTGCTCTGGGCTCTCGAGGGTGCTGCCTGTTCAGCAAGATAGAAGTGCCTTCTGCCCCAGGAACGAACCAGCCCTGTGGCTCAAACCCATTGTTCATAATAGATTTGATTTACCCTGAGTCAAATGAGTCTAGGGATAGGTTCATGGTTTGCGTTTAGATCTCCCTGGATGTGGCTGAGCAAAGCAGCTCCACTCCTAGGGAAGAAGAGGGCTGGGGACTCTCCAAGCTCTTGGAAGGGAACCACTAACTTGTTTACATTTCCCAAGGCAGCGCTGGGTCTCTGCCACTGGGGAACCTTAAGGAAGCGCTTCTTTTTTTCAGACCTACTCTCCGGCGCCTGAGGCCAGAGGACATGTTTGAAACCTGGGTAAGACAGTGACAAATTCTTTCTTCCTTCCAGGAATGCATGTGTCCCCAAGTGGAGTGCCCATTTGATTACGTTTCAAGTCTCAGCCTAAGTCTTACTTGGCTGAGCTCGATGCCTAGAGGGGGGAGTGTGGGCATCTTGCTCATTTAAACTCAGCTCTCTGTGCATCCAGGTTAAGTCTCCTTGGTACTATTCCCTGAGGAAGCGCGGGCTTTGCTCACAGGCCACCAGAGACTAGGGTGACATGCTGGAAGGGGCTTAGGCTACAGGTTCATAGTTCAGGACACAAGGTCATAGAGTCCAGAACCTGCCACCTAGTAACTTCATGACATACACTGAGTCATGTCATCTTCCTGAGCTTTCAATTCCCCATCTAAAATCAGAAGTCTTTGTAAGGATAAATGAGATGAAGCATTCAGAGTGTGGGAGGCTCTACATGGTAGTTCTTTTTTTAAAAAAAATCAACTCAAAAAATAAAATAAAATAAAAATAAAAAAAATAAAAAAAAAATCAACTCAAAGGGCTGGTGAGATAGCTCAGCGGACTAAGTGCCTGCTTAGGCAAGGGGCCAGGGTTCAATCCCTGGCACCGCATGCTGCCCCAGCTGAGCCAGTCATGGAGTCTGGGCGTGGTGAAGCTCACCTGTAATACCAGCACTAGTGAGGCAGAAAACAGGAGGATCACTACAAATTCGAGCTGTAGTGAGACCCTGCACACGTGCGCATGCATACACACACACACACACACACACACACACACACACACACACACACACACACAAATTAACTCAAGGCACTGGAAAGCAATCAAGACAGCTT